GTGTGTGTGTGTGTGTGTGTGTGTGTGTGTGTGTGTGTGTGTGTGTGTGTGTGTGTGTGTGTGTGTGTGTGTGTGTGTGTGTGTGTGTGTGTGTGTGTGTGTGTGTCTGGCTATCTGTGTGAATCACAAGAAGTCACCATACCACAACGAAGGACACAAGAATCAACAGCAGTGTTTTGTAAACGTGTGTGTGTGTGTACCTTTGCGCCGCCAAAGATGTCGGAGGATGCAACGACCTCGCCCACGGGCTTGTCGACCGTGCGTGGCGCAAGCTCAATCTTGGGGCGCTCGCTCGCCGCTGCATATTCACATACACACGAGCACAGGGGGTTCAGTGGGCGCAATGCGGTACAGTGACAACATGAGCAACGGGTGATAACAACAGGAGAAACGAACAAATCACAACAGCACAAGCACCGGTAATGCTCAGCAGGGCAAGGCAGGTTGCCTGCGACAAAGGCGCACAAGTTGTGGCAATTGGGTAGGAGAACGCAGAAAAGCTGAGTAGCGTGGTGCAAACTGACGTGCGGGCGGTGCGGCCGGGTTGATGTCGGGGTTGGCGGGAGGAGGACGGGAGCGCTCAAACGCGGGTGGGCCCTGCCGCCGCTCGCCGCTGTACCTGTTGAATCCACCGCCACTGCGCCTCTCAAAGCCACCACGTTGCTCAAAGCCGCCGCGTTGCTCAAAGCCACCACGTTGCTCAAAGCCACCGCGTTGCTCAAAGCCGCCACGTTGCTCAAAGCCACCCCGATGGCGGTGTCCACCCCCGTGCGGCGGTGGTGGCCCGCCCATATGGGGTGGTGGACCGCGACCACCGTGCTGTGGGGGACCACCACCACGACGACCTGATGTAGACAGACGCGGAGAGGAGGCGATGGGTTGTGTGAGGAACATGATCGTCACAGCAACGCCCAAGCAGCACCAGTGTGTGTGTGTGTGTGTGTGTGTGTGTGTGTGTGTGTGTGTGTGTGTGTGTGTGTGTGTGTGTGTGTGTGCAAAAGTGCGTGCAGCTGTAACAATGATGGCGCATCACCTCCGCGGTTCCTGCCGGGACCAGCAAGGTCGATCTTGAGGGGACGGTTGCCCCACTTTTCGCTCGTCTACAATGGAGCCAGGAGAAGACGGCGAACACAAGAAGGAAACCAGGAGTGATCCGGATCAAGCAGCATGGGATCAGACAGGCAAGCATATGTGAGATGACTTGACGTCAACGTAGCAATCACACATAAATGACGGAGACAGACAGAGAGACAGAGAGACAGAGATAAAGAGACGGGACACCTGCAACTGCCGTATTGCATACACGCTCACGCACACACAAACACCCAATCATACAAACACGCAAACACACTCACGCAACCATACAAACACGCGCAGAGTTTGAAACGCACCAGGCGGCCATTCAAGACAAGCGCCTTGTCGAGGCTCTCGCGATCCTTAAACTCCACAAAACAGGAGCCCTTGAACTTATCGGTGTCGCGGTGGCGGTTCATGCGCACAGAGGCCACCTGCATCACACATCAACAACAACCAACAACCAACAACCACAACCAACAACCAACAACCACAACCAACAACAACAACAACAACAACAACAACAACAACAACAACAACAACAACAACAACAACAACAACAACAACAACAACAACAACAACAACAACAACAACAACAACGTGCATTCCCGCACGCATCGTGGCATGAGCAAAGCAGCAAGCCAGGAACAAAAGAAACGGATGGAGCCAGCAAAAAAGGCAAGGGAGGGCGGCAAAAAGGGCAGGGAGCACATACACCCGCACACCCGCACACCCGCACACCCGCACACCCGCAAGCATATATTCGCACCCGCACACCCGCAAGCATCTATTCGCACACGCACATGCCCACACACACACACACACACACACACACACACACACACACACACACATTCGTAAACACGCACGCGCATAATGACACGCGCACAAAAAAAAAAAAACTGTCCAAAACCAATTCGATCGCATAGCTGCGCGTTACGACATAGCACAAAGAAAGGGCAGTCGCGCGCACAGAAACACAGGGGCGTCAGTGGCAGCGCACCTGGAAGCCGCTCTTTTCGGGGAAGATGAACTGCATGTCGCTCTCCACGAAATCGTCGTGGAGGCCGCCAACGTAGACGGTGTAAGGGGGCTCGATGCCTGGGGGTCCGCTGCCCAGTGTTGCTGGGGGCAGGCCCATTCCACCAGATGGGGGTGGCCCACCCGGCTGGCCGTATCGGCCTTGACCGCGGCCGCGGCCAAATGGGGGCCGACCACCGCGACCTTGTGGTGGGCCGCCACGACCCTGTGGTGGGCCGCGCTGCTGCTGCGGCTGCGGCGGCTGCTGCTGGCGGCGGCTCTTCTTGCGCCCGTGCTGGACAGTCTGAAATCCGTCGTCATCCATGGCGATCGGAGTCGGTGGCGGAACGAGTGGGGGAGGGAGAGCCTTGGAAGGCTGGAAGGTTTCGTCTCAACAAGCAAGCAAACAACAGGTGTTGGAAGGGTCGTGTGCGCTGTTGTTGTTGTGCGAGCGACAGGAGGAGGAGAGAAAAAAGGGGTAAGCAGAAAACACGAGAGAGCGGCGTGCTCAAGAGACACAGGTGATAATTCGATGAAATCATAGTCACTTTTCTACATTGCGAATGCTGTCAAACTTGACAGGTCTGCACACAAACCAAACACACAAACCAGCCAAGAAGCAAGCAAAGCAGTGCACCAACCAACCTCCTTGCATCTTGCTTTGCTTGTTTGTTTGTGTTGCTTCTGCACTGCTGCTTGTGTTGGGAATCAAGGTTGTTCGTTGTTGCGGTTGCTGGTGGTGTTCTTGGTGGACCATTCCTGTCGCTTCCGCTGCTGCTGCTGCTGCTGCTGCTGCTGCTGCTGCTGCTGCTTTCGTCGTTGCCTTCGACCCTCTCGCAGTTAATCTGGCGCACGTCAACAACACACATCACCACTACAACTACAACAAGTACCACAAGCACCACAAACACCGCCACCGAGAATCACACCAACAGCACACAGTGCTATCTCTCTCACACGCCATGAGTGATCGCAAGGACGCGTTCAAGCCGCTGCGCAGCCGCAAGGCGGCCCAGCAGCGCCACAAGGAGCGTCAGCGAGACGCATCACACCAGCGCCGCATGAAGAAGACTGCCCTCATGCATGCAAAGCGCATGATCGATGCCGAAGATGCCTCCCCAAGCCCCACGCCCATGGACCAGGACGCTGTTGCTGCCGTCGATAGCGAGAAGCTGGTTCGTGTACATGGATATGTGCGTGTGTGCATGCGTGTATTTGTGCTTGTGTGCATGCGTGTATTTGTGCTTGTGTGCATGCGTGTATTTGTGCCTGTGTGCATGCGTGTATTTTTTCTGTGTGTGTGTGTGTGTGTGTGCGTACATCTGTATTTCTGTCTCTCTACCCGCCTGCATGCCTGCCTGTCTCTCTATTTGTCCATCTGCATGCCTGTCTGTGCTACTACCCATGTCACTTGTTGTGGTCATGGTCACCGACTGCTCATTTCACCTGCACTTGCTTCCATCTACCTTTACACCCGTCCTCCCCCCCCCCAACAACACACTCACACACGCGCACGCACGACCATGCGATGCGGTCGCAACAGGTGGAAGAGAAGTACAGAACCCTGCGCGGAGGCGCGGAGGAGGAGCGTCCCAGTGCCCTGCAGGTTCTGAGAGACGTGTTCCGCGCAGAGCCAGACGCCGCTGCCGCTTTCCTTCGGTGAGCATGATTGTGCGCTACACGCCTGTACAACACTGCTCTCCCGCTTCCACCATCAACCTCGCGCACTGCGCCCTCATTAACCCCCCCCCCTTCCTTCCATTCCAGTTACATCCGCACGCGCTTCTCACATTCTCCTGTACCTGCTGTTGCTCTGCGTAAACCCAGCCATGATGACGCCACAACGGTGCTTGTGAACGTGTTGAAGGATCCTGCCTGTGCGCTCGCTGCCTGTGAATGCATCACCAACCTCGCCGCCTCACCAGCGGCCCACAATGCCGTGAGTAGTCCATCCAGTGTGCCCTGCGAAGACCGTCAGTTGCACGACTGTGGTTGGGCTGAACTACCACCAGTGGTGGTACTTGTGGTGCTGTTCTTGCTGCTGCTGCTGCTGTTGTTGTTGTCGTCATTGTACGCATCGCGGTTGTCGCTTGCCACCCCATCGCATCACACGTGTTCTGCGGCTGCGGTATCAACACAGGGCCTTCCGCTGGTGGTGCCGACGCTGCAAGAGGTCCTGGCGGCCTCCACCAGCCCCGAACTCACCCGCCAGGCCTGCTGGGCCATTGGTAACATTGCCGCGGACGGACCAGGTCCGTGCTAACACATGTGCCCGTGCACCTGTCTGTGTGCGTGCCGTGCCTGCATGTGTGCTTGTCTGCGGGCCACTGATTGCTTCTTCTGAATCCTTGTCCCGCTTCCTCGCGGCCCTCTCATCCCCTCAGACGACTGCTTTCTCTTCTATCCCTGACCTGACTTTTTCCATGGTGTGTTCCCCCGTGTTGCTACTCACCTTCATCCCCCCGGCACACACACACACACACACACACACACACACACACACACAACACTCTGTCAATGTTGTGCAGAGGCCCGCGATGCTGTTGTGGCCACGCCCGGCTGTGTTGATTCCCTCATGCAGCTCCTCAAGGTGCGCGCATGTGTGTGTGTGTGTGTGTGTGTGTGTGTGTGTGTGTGTGTGTGTGTGTGTGTGTGTGTGTGTGTGTGTGTGCGTGTGCACTTTCTGGGGGAAAAAGAGGCAAATCGGGGCCCACCATTGGCGATATAGAGATATCGCCGAGAGACCCCCGAGTCACATAATATTGAGAACAACACGTGTGTGTGTATATCAGTGTATGTCTGTGTCGTGACACCCCCGCTCTAGGGGTGTCACCCTTGTGACCCCGTTTCTATATCTTTTTACACACATA